ATGATAGAGGCAACAAATCTGTTGGTCCGTAGATTTCTGCAGGTTATGAGCAGCCAGTCTTAATTTCTCTCAATAGCTGATGACGGACAACGCTTGATTCATGACCCAGTCAACCTGATTTTCAGATGTTGAGCTCTATGGCTACAGAAGCGTTTGTGTTGCTCAGTGTTGGTTCAGGGAGCAGGAACGAGATAAACTCTGCGACTGTTTAAAAGAATCGGCTTAGTAATTGAGAAAAACTGCAACAGATATGTTCATTGGAGATCCAGCCTCACCTTCTATTAAGCAGGCTAAAAATATGGTAATAGCCTTTAATCTAAGTTTCTTCTAAGAACCTCTAGGGGCCAGTGACAATGTTGTGATCATTAAAAACTATTTCAACCCTGTGCTATCCGAGTACCTCAGTCAGGGGTGTTATGCAACTACTGTGAGCAAAATATGGGCAGATTTTGGAATGGACCCTTGGACAGAACAGGAATAGGAAACACTTTCCACGTCCAGAGTGGTTGGCTGACTTCCCCAGAGGACCTCTCCTGGGGCAAGATATGGATGGGCTCGAAGAAAGTGAGATACCACATATTAATAATGAGGGGAAGGCTCAGAATTGGTCTTGCCCATTTCCCCCCTCACTTCCTCCCTCTTCTTCATTCTCATGTTGGTTTTCACAATTAGATGCAGCCATGAAGCTAGTAAACAACTTCTACCTACAAAGGCTGACTGGCTGGCTTCATGGAAATCAGTGACAAAACTCACACTGATTTCAGAAGAACCAGAACTTCATCAGCAGTATAAAAGGCAGATCACAGATCATTAATATTATACTGCTTTTCCAAAAGTACGAGATGGGCAGAATCATCATTTTGGCACTGTTTGACACAAAACTATTTTGGAGTTACTCAAGTACTCCATTCAGTTCAATACACAGGATGGCTGTCAGTCAGCTGAAATTATTTGCTCCCTAGTTCCCTCTAATAATATAGGCATTTCGTTTAATTTTCAAAGTAGGTCACCTACAGACAGGAAGAGTCAGCCCAGGATGCTGGTAAATAGACATCTCAGTCCTTACTGAAGCCTCAACAACTGAAATGCAGTTTCAAAACAACCTTTATTCTGCTTGAAGACTTATTACAATTTTTAAAGCAACTTAAAAACAAGACACAGCTCCATCAACTCTATAGCTTGAACAAAATTTCAAGGAGGCATGTTTTCATTGTTGCCTTGTAAAGGCAATTTACAACCCACTTTACCCTCCACCTCCTCAAAGACCATTTTAAAACAAAGTTATCTCAATGTTTTAAAGACATTTAACAGAACAGAGCTTTACTTTCAATAACAAGAATAAAAAAAAATAGCAGCATCTTGGGCAGCTAATGCAATCTCATTAGGACAAGTGCAATGCAACATTATCAGCTCCCCCAGTCCAGTTTAGTCTTCAACTGCAGTAAACACAACATGAGTCTACATAAAAGGTTGCATTTTGGCACCTTGTCCCATGGGAGGCATTGTGCTTTGAGCTGCCCATTTCTAAAGTGACCCTGAAAAAAAAAAATCAGGATTCACATTCCCAACTTAATACCATGCATAGCAAAAGCACTGTGTGAAAATCGGCAGAAGTTTTCCCCATTAGAAGCATCCAAATGTTTTCCCAAGCATTATTATTTCATTGCCAATTACAAGACAAAGCCATTTCTTCACTACAGAACAGTTGACACCAAATAGAAAATTCGAAGATTTGGTTTTACAGATTGCTTGACAAAATTTCTTAAGATAACTGAATCATACAGACAAGCTTTTTTTTTTTTTAAGAAAAGAACCAACACCACAGAAACTCAGTTTTCTAACTGTATTTGGAAACATGCTGCACCCACAAAGGTCTAGTTGGGCATACCTCTGTGTGTGTGTGTGTCTTTAAACAAAGTTAATAATGTCACTTACTGAATTCAGCAAAATGATCATGTTTGGTGAAAATGCACCTATACTGGGATCTATTCATACATAAGCACAGCAAGTGTGCACACATATGCACAGATACACATCCCCAAATCTGCAAATTCAAATTTCAACTTAAGGAAATCAGAAACTCCTAATTTTGCTTGTGGGTTTTGGTTCGCTGTATTATGTCTCATACCTTTCAAAAAGGCCTTGTGAAAGTGCTGCTGCAGTGCAGCATAACTCAGGGATTTAAAATAAAACAAGAAATTCCCCAAACCAAAAAAACAGAACAAAACAAATCCCACCCTTGAATTATATATGAAAAACTACATCGCAATAGAAATACAGAAAAGCACCGCATTTCCTCAGTTATATTTATGTGCTTTTTTTCCTGTGTATATTAGTCTGAGATCAAATCAAAACTGGAGTGAACAATATGGTACATTAAGGACAAACAACTCTGCAGTGAATAGGGCCTTTGGCAGCGACTTAGCTCTGTGCATTAAGGAGGGAGGGAATGCAGAGGCCACACAATACATATATACAAAAGAAAACCCACTCATGACAATTTGAGAGCGTAAGTGATCTTTGCAAATTGCACAGACCCTGTGTAGGCAGAATATCCCCTTAAGAAGTCATAAGCACTCATCCTCACAACATAGTGCTTATTTCTTATTGTTGCCTGTGCAAGAAAAGCACAGGCCAAATCTGCCCACACACTATTTTTTCTCTGCTATAACCACAGATGAAGAGAAGTTGTACAGCACAACAGGAAAAAATGATAATCCATACTGGGCTGGGCATGCTAAGGATATGGCCCACTGACATAGCAGAGGTTTTCTTAATATGAGGAAAATTAGATCCAAATGCCTTAACTACGATAAAATTTCTCGACAAATGCTACGTGAAACATCAATTCAGATTACATATATTTTGCTTATAGAGAAAAAAATTACAACGTTACTCTTAAAATATTTAATATTCAAAAATTAATATATGTCCAAAGAATATCTTGGATTGCTACAAGTGTTAAATTGTTGTATATTGAACTAATTTATAAGTTCAAGCCCAGCAGTATAACTGGCATGCTATAGTAATTGTTGGCGCTTTCATAGTAAAAACCAGTTATTAGTAAACCAAATTTACATGGTCCTACAGGTCTGAAAAGAGTGTGGAATGAGGAAAGGAAGGGATGAAGACTAAACTTCTATTAAGAAAAAATATTCAGAATAATTTTGTAAGTGGTGACTATCCTGAAACATTAATGTTGGTTGAATCTTGTTTCCTGATATAAATTCTAGTAAGAAAATACATCTATAGGAAAGCAAAGACAACCCACCAAAAAGCACAAAATCAAAATAAAATCAAAAGCCTTACAGCCTCAAAAATGAAGGAGCAATGTAAAAATTAAAAAATAATATAAAAACTACTGGAGACTGGCAAATTTCATATTATTTCCAATAGCTTGATAAGATCTGCATACTTGGAATTACACACATGTATTGGTAAAACACAGCTATTAGGAGAGAACTCCATGGGTCTTACTCTTTTGATTGTGTATGCAATCTTTACTAGTAACGGGTCCTACCTTTGCATCTTGGGGGTAGAATAAATTCCTAAGATCAGTTAGTTAAAACTTTTCCAAGATTCCTCTGAACTTCATTACTTTATCAATTTGCAATGTGTGAATCTCCTCAGTGGTCAGGACAATAAATAACCATTGTAAACCACCCACAGTGAATTGTCTCATAATTCCTAATAAATTTGCTTTAGTGGGATTCATGTATTTGTTTCCTTTAACTAAACCATAATTCTCTAAGTCTCTGGTACCTGACATTATAGAAGTGTTCACTTTGATACTCCTCAGCCTACAAACTTATGAAAATAAATCCAAAATGTTAAAGATAATAGCCTAATCATTTTCAAAACAGACATTTTCCAGTCTTAATTAGCTCTATGTTGTATCCAGACATTCTCAGCAAAGGTGGGAGCTTTTTTTTTTCCAACAATACTAATACAAAAAACAAACCTAGGCAACAGATTAGAGAAAATTCCTTCATATGACATGAAAATACCTTTACATGCTGACAAAAATTCTGCCACAGTAGGTCAAGAAGAGTGGATTTACTGTGAAGAGTGGATTCATTCTAAAATCCAACTATCTACCCACCCCAGTTGCCAAGTTTCCTGTTTTTCCTGCTATCACTATCAGAGAAGAATACACAATTTTTCATCTTCCAAATACAAAGACAATCATGATAGAAGTTCAAAATGCTTCAAGAAGCAAACATAGTGTGGTACCGTATTCTAAAGATATCTCTGAAACAATATTGTTGGACTCAGTGATATTTTGCAATGTTCATATATTTTTTTATTGAATAAAGCAGCTTTGAAGCTTATCAGGCACTGCCCAACAAAATATTTAGTCAAAAAAAAAAACCTCGAACTTTTTAGACTTTGAGCTAGTAGCTCAATATTCTATACAAAGAAAATTGTAAAATATTTCATAGTTTTAATTCCGAAACCAACTCTTGCTGGCTTCCTGTACAAAAAAAAAACCCAACAAAACAAACAACAAAATGAATAATGAAAAATAATCATCAGGAAAAATATTCTCAGGCAAAAGAAAGAAAGAAAGAAGACGACAAGGAAACAAGAAAAACAAGCTTAACTTATAGATATGCTTGAGAGAAGACTACAGCCTAAAGAAAATTGAGTATTGCATAGCATGGTCTAAGAACTGAGCTTTCAGCAAACAGAAAAGGGAAAAGAGAAGCAGTTTGGTATTCATAGTTTTCATCAATGATAGTTAGTCATCCAATACTATGTACATTATTCGATAATGTATGCCATTGAAAGTCCTGTTTTCTTCAGTCTTAAATATATTCTTAGAACAGGATTTTTAAACGTCTAAACAAAACACTTCCTGGCACTTTGCTATTACAATTACTCTGAACAACATACTGTAACTGAAGTCCTTTTAAAGTGTCCCTTAGAAATGAAAGTGCCATTCTGCTACATGTCATTCACCAGAAACCAAAAAATCCACAATGCTGTGTGTCTGGATCCACTGAGTGCAGCACCACCAAATCCAAGCCAGGTTGTGACCACAAAATTCCAATAACTGAATGACAAAGACCTCTTATACCTTGTGTCTGGAGAATCCAATGTTCTAGCTGGTAAAGCTTCAGAAATGGTCGTAAACAAGCACCAGGCTTAAAGGCCTCTATGTCCCTGCAGGTAGATCAGGTTCAGATTTCTCTCTCATGTTTTTCTTAATTAAAAAAAAAGCACTTCAGATTAGAAACATACATTCACAGCTTGATACTGTGATCTCTCCCACTGCAGCCGTGAAGCAAAGCTCTAGTCCTATCTGAAGACAGGTAACTTTGATACTGCAGCTCAAATTCTTGAGTAAGGCTGAAAGGAGCCTTTTCTCTCCAGAGGCCTCAATGTTGTCAAATCTTTTCTTTAGGAAAAAAACAAACAACCCAGAGAATTAAAATCTTCATCGCCTCTGCTGTGCATATACTGGGTAGGCTAGTGTGACATTGAGAGAGTCATTGTGCTGCACGAGTGATGTGTGTTGATAATGTAGCACCAGTTCTTTGAGTGAGTTGTACAAGTTATATGGCTCTGCAAATCCATACCCAGTAGGTGTTTTGTTTATCACACAGTGCTTTACTTCTCCATCCACCCTAAAGAGAAAAAAAACAAACCAATTTTTAGATTGTCAGTAAAGTTAAACTAGAAAATAAGATATTGGCAACAAATCTTAAGATGCTAGACACTACATACAATTCCTGCCTTCTATGGTGGGATAATGGTAAAAGCCTAGGTTTAACCCAAATTCCCAGACATTGTGTTAGCTTAGGGAGGCAGAAGATAAGCAGGACTCAGCAGCTGCACAGAAAGGAGTGCATCCATGCTTTGGTTTCCCTTCTTCTGCATGAGGCTCATCTGTGGGAGTGGCAAAGGTTTGAGCTGTGTAGGAAATGGAGCAGCAATAAGGATGGCCTCAGGACTTGGTGGTCTGCTTCGAAGCCCAAAAGTCCAATGGGATTTCATGCGTATGCAAGTGTCTATCTGCCCCTGGCTCAAGGTAGGTGCCTCAAATGTTGGTTACGTCATTGACAAATTGGAGTACGTACACAACAGAGCATGCATAGCAGCCTTGTTTGCTGCTCTCTCGAACAAGGAATGTTCCATCTCGCTTTCCCCGCAGCAGATTTTCAGCTTGGCTTCTGTTGATATTTCCCACATTCCATGTTCTCTCATCATGATGGGGCAAGTCCTCATCATCTTCTACCATAGAGTATTGGCTGTTGAAATACAACAAAATGTGTTTGTGAAACACATTGCAGAGGAAAATCCATGAATTAGGTACTCCCCATTTCATATTATTTAGAAAACAAAAAACGTGGTTAGTAGGATGCCTCCCTGGTAAAATTAGGGATGCAAACCATGTAATATTGCACCATTCAAACCACTGAATAAAAATAAAATAAAAGTTCTGGTTCTTGTTTCTTTTAAAAACACTCATGTAAATCTAAAAGGATATAAAAGGATGCTGTGGTATCTTTCAGAATGTGCTGAGAACACTTCAGTACTTCTACCATTGCTTACTGTTTTGGTAAATAGCAAGCCCAGCGAAATCAATACCCTCCGAGTCAGCTTCATTTCCAATGATCAGAATACTTGGTCAGCAGCGAAAATCACGCAATGTATCAACTACAGCTGCTGCTTTGGAAAGCTATGAGCAGTTGTACAGGTAGACAGATTAATTATTTATAGAGGAGATGGCTCTGTGGAAAGGGTGGAATAGTAGAATGCTCGCTTTCTCTCCTTATAACTAGATTATGAAGAGGGCATGTAATATAGGGCCTTCTCTACCAAAACAGCCACCAACTATAAAGCTGATTCAGAGTTAGACAACTCTCTGAGCTGAAGCCCACCATGAAAGATGTCTCCGGTTCAGCTGTGCGGACACCACTTTGATATTCTGCAGTTCCAGAGCTCCCCACTCCCCCAGCACCCTGCACTGGTGGGCCCTGCCTCTCCTGCTCAGCCTGCAATCAGTCTGTGTTTGGCTAATGTATTTAATTCTCTCTGTAATAGGTTTTTAATCAGTTTTCCTTGGTCTAAGAAAACATGACTTCTCACTCATCCACAGTCCTGTCTTTCTGAAGAATTGTAAAGTAGTCTACAGTAAGCAGCAATCTCACACGGAATGCAATTTTTCAGAAAGAAGGGTTCTTTTGTTTCAGATGACACTATCTCTATGTCCCTTATCCCATTGTACTCCTTTGTCCTTCATGATATTCAAATGCATTCAGCAGTGGCTCTATTTTCAACCAGCATGCAGAGAAAGCAATTCCTGTTTTTCCTGCTGCTCATTATATTGATCTTTTCTGCATTACAACTTTAGCAAAAAAAGTCATATTCTCAGCAGGAACCTGAGCACTTGCCAGACTCACTGGCAAGGAGAGCCACAGAGTGAGAGAAAAGCAAGATTTCTCTTACTATTTTGATTGAGACAATTTCACTTACTATTTTGATGCTACACTAAAACCATGACCTGTTTAAGTGATGGAGTAAGCACCTGGAAACAGGTACTTACATATTCTCCATCACATCATCTTTGAGCTATGCTAAAACTGAGCAAACAACATGGCTTTAAAACGTATATGCCATTTTTATCCTCTGCTTCTACCAGCACAGCCACAGTAGAGATGCACAATTTCCAGGATAATAGTAGGAGACTCAATAAACCAAGCCAAATTAAAATAGATGTGGACAAGGCTAGAATGTAAATCTACTAAACAGTTGTTGTCAGTCTGCTGGTTTTGCTGTACGTTCAGCTAGGCAGTGTAAAAGGCATGCACAAGAAACTACATAGGCAGAAAATATTGATATGAATATTACTCAGAGAACTTTGTTTTCCTATTTGTTCATTCTTCACTGTAACTACACTTTTGATATTATTTTGTGACTTGTTTTTGTTTAAATTTGGTCTACATTCACACCACCCAGGTGCTTTTTCCCCAGGAATGAAGTGAAACCTATTCATTAGCCAAGACCCTGTCACAATCTATAGTAAACTGAATTGCTTGAAATGACAGAACACTATCCTGCCATTTCCCAGAAAAACTAAATAGACTCAAAAACCAGAGAAGGACCACTCTTCAGCAAATACAATTTTATCATCTCCAATAGCAATATGATATACTGATGTAGGTGCCACTATAATAGATAGCTCCATGGTACCAATGCTTGAAATTCGGAAAAAGCCTGCCCATGCCTAAGAGACCTTTGAACAATTTATCCATCCTTATGGCATCTCTATAAGACCATAAGATACTAACATCTTATGGTCTTCTGTTTGCTGGAATAAAGACATAGGTTACAATTCAGGGCTTTGCTACAGCAACTTGATTATGCACTTCCCTGAATAATGAAGAGTAGAGGGTGAGAGTCCTTTCTAATACTTGCATTAATCAGGCTGCCATGTGTTAACCATGTGCATTGTTTCTGGACACCTAGGCTTGAGATTTCCGCTGTGAAGTCCAGGAATTAAATATGCTTTATCTCACTTTGGCATAAGATTATTTGAAATACCAGAAATATTTAAATCTTTCAATACTCACTCTTCTGTATTTTCATTTCCAAGCCATTCATTTAGCTTCTTTTGCCGAACACCTTTTTGAGTCAGCCACCTGGACAATAATTACAAATAAAATTAATTTTTAGTCATAGAAGTTGGATACCAATAAAAAACCAAACTTTAAAAAATTTGTTAATTCATAATGATACTCACATCAAGTACTGATCTCTTGTCTTCCTCAACTGTATGAGGTCTGGCTTAATGCTGTTCATACGCTTGTCTATCTCTCTATACTCAGCTGCTTGCTTCTTTAAATCCTCTTCTAATCTACGCCTGCTGTCCACGATTTCACTTATTCGAGACTTCAGTTTTTCATAGTTGTGCATAATTCTGAATGGAATAATGTGGTAGGTTACACTCTGATGATGTCTTGTTCACAACTTTATAATCTGCTATTTAGCGCTGTAAACACTTAAGAGAACAGATTATTTCTCTAGATGTAGCTATACATTTTGAAAGTTCACGTCTACCTCATTTGAGGTTCCTTTGCTTACAACTGAACAACTTTAAAGTCGCCATCTTGCTTTAGTTTTACACAGATATATACTTGGCATTGTTACTTTCCTCAAAATCATACAATTTGAAATGCAAATACAAATACTGACCTTTGTATTTCTTTTTCATTTCCCTCCCGTTTAAATTTTTCAATGTATTCCTTACTGTATCTTTCTTGTGTCTGGCACTGCTCTTCAAATATTTTTATTGTTTCATTAAATGCTTCAATAGCTGTTCTTTTCATTTGAATTTCCTGAGAATAAAATAATTGTTATTACAGTTGTTATCCGAGGGAATGATTTATTGGCTTGTATCACAGAAACACTTCAGTATATTGTGCAAAAAAGACTTCAATATCCTTTTACCAGAACACCTTCTGTCTGCAGAGCCTTATAACACAGAGAGAACAGGCCTGTGCAAAAAGCTACCATGATGACGCTTTCCATGACGAGGTTTTCCAAGAAAGAAAAACTGCTAGACCAAAGAGCTAGCTACAATCTTTGTTTTGTATAAATATGTTTCATCTGCGATGATTATAGCCTTATGGCAATGCACTTCGCACTTTGTACCAACTTATGTCCTTAGAGGCACATCTGGCTTTCTGACAAAAAAAAAAGTGTAAGATATTGGCCTGGACAGGTCTCAAGAGGTCATCTAGTCCATTCTCCTGCCCTTACATAGCTAGTTGATAGTCAAGTCTTAAGTCATTAGTTCAAGTTGCCTGCACTTCTCCACCTTTCTTCAATTATTTTTAGGCGTACTTCCTGCACATTTTAAGAAGCAGTCTTGATTCTATGTCTGTAAAACCACGCTAATTCGCTGGCACTTCAAGATTTGGCTAATAATTAAGTTGAAAGAAGGACAGAAGCAGCTTTTCATTCCTGCACTGTATCTACACACATCATCTCTCTACCCTGCATAGACAAAACCGTTCCCTTCAAAAACTAGTAATAAAATACAATGCTTCCCTGCAAATATGCCTTGAAAATTGTAACTCAGCTTGATGAGGTCAGTACACAGACGTGCTGGTAAATCAAGACAGTTCTGTGCTTGCTTTGGATGCAGGTGTCAGACTTAGGCACAAGGTGGGTTAGGTTACAGATGGTGACTGTTCAAACATGAGTAAGCAATTCTACTATCCTGAGCAAGCACATCAGATGTGCTTCCTCTTTTGGGCATTGGTAGTGGTGGTGGAAGGCAGGAGGAGGAAGATGGAGCAAGATAGCAGTATGAATTTGCAATAATATTCTTCTAAATCTACAGAAGTCTTCCACTCTCCCTTATGGCTTCAAATCTAGCTCACCTGAGATGTTCTTGTATAGTCTTCGTAGAGTCTGTCATATTCTCGGCTTTTTTCTTGGAACTGGGTATTATATTCATGTAATTTCTTTCCCACTGCTTCAATACTATCCTCTTTTACAACCTGATCCTGGAATGATGAGCAGAAGGAGAGATATTCCATAAAGAAACAATTAAATTGCACAGATTTTCAGGATAAAACTGCTTAAAAGTGCCTAGATAGTTACATGGCAAATGTGACTCCTCTTTCATCACTATGGAGATATGATATACTATATGCATAATAAGCAAATGAGAAATTAATGACCAAAAAGCAATTTTGCATTGCAAGTGTTCAACTTTATACTGAAAATTATATATTTCATCATTAATGAGTGGGACTTTTATTAACATAAGTTTATTTCTTAATAATGTATCTGCAGTATTTAAAGTTTTAATTATTTATATGCAAACTGTGGAGTTGGTTTTAAACAAAAATATTCATTTTTATACCCGCTTTATTTTTTCAAATTACAACAAAGCTTCATGATGAATCCCCAGTCTGCAGTAATTTCTCTGTATTTAAGTGAAACACAAAGAAAATAGACCAAATTACCTGCTGGTACTTAGACACTGGATACAGTAATTTTACATCCAGTTTAGGATTATACTGGGCTAGAGATTCATTCCGGTAGTGGTTTATTAGTTCAACCACAGAGTTGAAAGTTAATGGGTCAGAAAAGCCGTATTTTCCATCTCGATGAAATATTTTGATTAATTTGTTATTTCCTCCTTTCCTGCAAATAAAGTTTGTTGAAAAGTTAGGCATACTTCAAGTACTATTTCCTAAAGAACACTGTATTTTAAATGCAGTAATGCATTTTACTGTCAAATATTACAGACCTAGCATAACTAATCTTACCTTAGTGTAAGTGTGTAGTCCCCATGCATTTTGGTCGAAGCATCTCGTACCAAAAAGGTGCCATCAGCAGTGTCTCGAAGTTTCTCATTTACTTCCTCTCTAAAATGAAAGCAAAAGTAACCAATCATTTCAGCTACTTCTCACTCATTTGTCCTCTCACTGTGCTCTAAATTCTTCTGTTTAAAAACAAGTGGTTTTTAGAAGGCTTTTTGATCTCCATATTAATAAATAGTTATTTAATAGCTTATTTAACATTACTGGAGAACAACTGGGATATAAAAAAGCTATATTCTATGCCCTCTCATTGCTGGACAAAATTATGTTCATACAAAAATCTTTCTGCTTGTTCATACAAGCCTGCACAATTGGAGCAGCCAGTGCTGGTCTAATGTACCTATATATAGTACAGTTAAAAATGTTGCTAATATATGGCACTTGTTAGTCTGGCTTGTTAACTATTGTGCCTACAGCTGAGGTTCTGGATGACAGACAAGAAGAAAATACTTATTTCTTGGTATTGTCCTTTCATGCCAGCATTTCATATAGTTGTCTTAAAGTAACAGAACAATCATTTCACATACTACATTCTGAATGCCAGTAACTTTTTAGTCATGTTTGGAATAAAACAAACCGTAAAATGTCTGTGTTGGAAAATACCCTAAAAATGGCTCTTAGAACTGTAATTTTTCTATACTTAAGCATAATACATATACACAGCATAGCAAGAACATAAAGCCAAAGCAAGAAATACATGTCCTGAGATGATTTACCTTGAGATATCTCCCCAGTACCATTCAGCATCTTGTAATGACATGTTGTTATTCATGCCGTTGTTAGTTACAGTATTAGGTTTCGGTGGCTTAGGAGGCAGTGCTGCAGATGAAAGGGGAAAAAAAAGTTGATTATAACTCAGTGAAAACCTGACCATATATTCCTTGAAATTACACATTATTACATGAATGAGAAGAAAAATCAGAATAGTTACAAAATGGCATTTTCCATCACTAACAGTCTTTAAAAGTCATTAGAGGAATCAAGAGATTTTACTGAAAACAATATAATTCAACAAGAACCATGTACCGTTTTAAAAAAGTATGTTACTCTTGCAATAATATATTTTAAGCAAAATATAACACCATACTCATCTCCTCACCCTGTGAAGAAAGCATTTGAGAAAAAAAAATTCTGAAGTTTGCTTTTACCTTCTTCCACTATCTTCAAGTGAATGTAAATGGTAAAACATGTAAAATTTTTTTTCCTCCTATGAAATGATCTTAGAGGAATGTTGCTGCTTCCTCACCTAGAAGCTGAGTAATAAAAGATGCAAACCCACAGCAATACTGTATATTTGAACAAGAACTGGGGTTTTGTGATCCTCAGCATTCTGTGCGATGATTTGCCAAAAAACCACTTTAAGAAACCCATCTGTGACCCAAATATCCCTTGTGTTAATCTGAGTATTATACAGAATAAATTGTGCTCCAAATGCCAAGACTGATTAAAACCCACATCCCCCTTTTCTCAATGTCAAAGCTGCAAACGTATACCAGTGGGTGCCAGAGAAGATACTGCAGCACTCCTGACTTAGTAGCAAGGGGGACTACATTGGAATCAGGATTTAAAAAGAAAAAAAAATTAAAAAAAAAATCAACCTAGCTCCCTTAGTTCTCCAGTAAGTACATCATTCCATACGGACAGCCCTGTCCTGTATATTATGACTGGCTACAAAAGACAATGTTTTTAAAGTTGCAACGAAAATCAAGACAGCATGATATTTTTATATGATATGAAAAAATGACGCGATATTAGGTATTCAATTAATATTGCTAGATTTTAAAATCTGTTCTTCCTCAAACATTCCAAAACAATGATTTGCAATCACTCTTTCAGGCAATAAAAGTGTTACTACAGCATTTCCTTTTAGTCACAGTGTAGAACAGAGATAGCAAAAATAATAATAAAAGAAATACAAAATTTTTATGATATAATAGCAGAATTAGAACTACATCTGACAGAATAAAACAGAAACAGGTCAATTCAGTAAAAATTCAATTGAGTAAGCAGACAGGTATTTCTACAGGTTAAGATTCTAATTACTATAACCATGCAATAAACGACAATTTAATTCTAATTTATGAAAAAAAAGGAAAAAGAAAAACTACTTGTATCAATGACAAAGTAAAGAAATTCTACATATCCACTAAGAATTTTTCAGAAGCTATTGTAAATACCAAAATGAATTAAGTCTTCCATAATAAGACTGCAGTTTTACCTGGTGGATCCATTTCTATGTAAAACATCAAGTCTGTGCCACAATTTATATCTGTCTTAGGATATTCTATATCCAGTTCTTCCATATTCCAAACAGTATTGTACATTTGTATGAGTTTCACTGAGTAAGCTCAGATACAAGAAAAGAGTCAGGCTGTCTTTGTAATGGTGTCTTGGAATTCATTTTAAAACCTATTAAGGGGCTGCACTGTAACCTATTACATCATAATCCTCAGCCAATCATGTCAAAATAATGTCACCAGACCACTCCTGTTTCCTCATTTTGTTCTACATTAATCTTAAAACAATTTCAGTTTTGGAAAGAATCTACATTTAGCAGAACTGCTATACACCTGGTAGTACAAAAAAAAGGAGAGAGTGGGCTCTCCTCGCCTGTGTTCCCAGCTCATTTTCCTGACTTTGCAGCATGGTACAGTCCAATCCTGGCAGGATGACAAAAGGCTGATATGCTGCAGCACATAGCTCTTACACACACGCGCACACAACACACACACACTCACACACAGGGCAGCTCCCTTTAGAAGTAGGTCGGTCACATCTCGGTTGCATTCTCCTGCTTGGATGCCTGAAGTTTACATTCAAAAAAGCTCTAAAAGGCTTCTGGACCTACTGTACATGTTAAAGATGTAGAAGGGAAAAGTATATGACTGTGTGTGTATGTGTGTATCCATAATGTACTCATTTTACACATGCATACACACAGAGACATACATATCTCCACATAATTAAATATGGATTATGTTTTTAAACTGTGCAGATTATTATTATTTTAATGGACACACAGGTCTGATATACTTGATATTACTATATAAAATGTGCTTACTGAAGAGATGTCTCCCCCCCTTGTCATTTTGTAATAAAATACAATTCCAATCGATCTAGATTAACTCATTTTGAAATCTAAAAACCAAATACTGTAAACTTACATTCAGCAGACTTGCCTAAACTGTGGAAGAAAGTAAAAACTGAGTAAGATTTTGAAAAGTGATTTTGCTGAACATAAAAAGCCAATCTGTCAGGATACAACAAGATTTAGTCTGCCTCTTCACACTGTTCCTCTACCCTGTTCTCAGTGAGATATTTATCAAGTTAACTGTTTTTAAAAGCAAAAGTCCCTTCTCAGTGTCTCCTTCCTCACTTGACTATGTCATCAGTATCCTCCTACCAACTGGAAATATTCCTTCTTAACTTCCCCCCATCCCTGACTGTAATTCTCTCAGACCTGTTGGAAGAAACATGCACGGAACAGATTATCAACTGCAGAGCAGAATGCTATGTAAAGAAATGTGAATGCTTTATCCTTGCTATAATCTATGGGGGCAGAAAACTAGATACCAAAAATAACCACAACAAAAAGTAGCTGTAGCAACTACTTGTGCCTACATCACAAGACATCCTGGTGTGGCTGAAATGTGCTGTATCTCAACAAATACTCAGTAAAAAAAATTAACAGTTTATATTGTTTCCAAATATTTCACACATATCTAACCCCCCATACCCTGGGCCCCTCAGCAGCTTACCCCTTTTAGACAAGCATTAACACACAAGAACATGTCTGGAGTACCAACAGCTACAAAAAAAAAAAGGCATGCTAGTTTGCTTTATACATTAACAAGCTTAAATTCATTCTGAAGTAGACTCTCCCCTTCCTGTTTAGGTAGACATGCTCCAAAGATTCCTTCCATTTCCAAAATGAAATAGGATACTTAAAATCATCCCAGACACAAGTCCAAACACTGAACTTGGAGGTTTAGCCCACCTGCTACCCAAACAGTTGAGTTGCCAAGGTAATTATTTAAATTAAGTTATAAACATTTCCTACAAACACTACACTGCTGCATTTAGGTCTCATGTGGAATCAGTAACATTTTTTTATTCCATTGAATAAAGGTTTTCAGGAAAAATTACATCTCCAGGGTTTCACTGGTGGCCAAATTTTAGACTGCCCACACTTGTATAATCAGGTTAGTGCTCAGCTCAGACTAGCCTAGCTTGCAGGCAAGAAAAGACAGGGGGCAGAGGGTTGATTCCCCATTCCCTGTATAACCTGGAGAGGTACTTGACTTTCATTTATATATCTCAAGATCATGAAAGTTCTACCTGGTAATCAGTTATAGTACATGAGGTGATGAAGAAAACACACACAGAAATTCAAAATCACTTACTTTGTAAATTATACATCGCAAATGCTCACCCTTGTGATACAGCCTGCAAATATAATCCAATAATCTGAAAAATTAATTGGTTTCCTCTTAGAAAAATCTTGCTTAAAAAAACAACCCCAAAACTCCTTTTACTAGGAAGCTTCTCTGAAGCAATGAAGAAAAAAAAAAAAATTCGGAAAGAGAGACTGCTCTTCTTTCCAACGAATGTTCCATAAAAATCCCTAAAAGAGCAGTAACATGCACTGAGAAAATCCAAGCCTTCTCTCTCTTCTTAATTGCTTAAAGCTCTGTGCCGTGCAGAAGGTATGCGCTTACTCTGGTTCATCATTAAAAAGTGAACCTGACTTTAGTACTGTGGAAAAAAAAAAAAAGAAACCACCACCCTCCGTAGCTTGCACATCTCCCAGATAAAGATCTCAGTTTCATGATTAACTTGGGCAGGTTCAAATATTTGCTGAGCCAGAGATTTCAGGTGGGGGAGGGGGGAGACAGATTCAAAGTAAAAGTTGTCATCAGCTAACAAGTGGCCAATGCAGGGCTAACTTTCTCATTTTAGCTAAGTAAATGAGAAGACCATTGTAAGAGGCCTTAAAATAGTCTCTATCACTGGCTGCTGAGCGTGGTATTGAAGTTGAGAAAAACATCATGAACAGCCAAATACAGGAAGTGGCTAACTACCTTACTGCAGAAAAAAAACCAGAATCAAAATCTTCCTTGAAAAGAGTTGCATCTCTGTGAGCAGCCCTGTGCAAGCAACATAGCCTGCTTGCAAGCACCGCACCTCCTACACACTCATGCTGGATCACAAATACAGGTGCTGCTTGAAGACTCTTAGCATTACACTGTGAGGCATTTTATCTATTTCCTATAAACTGAAAATAGTAGAAAAAACACCTGTCCATATCCATGGTGTTTTCCAGTATGGCAGGATTGTTCATTTCTTGGGCAGGCAGGTGGGAAAAGGGACTACGGAGAGGGAGCAGTTTAGGTCAAATTTATCTTCCTTGCCTTAGTGTTTGGTGGAGATCAGGTTTGCTACAGGAACAGAACAGCAACTGAAGAGCCTGCTCGCCTTTGCCTACAGAGGTTAACTTCTTCACCAGCTATACTTTTACAAGGAAATAAATTCAAAGTGAAAAGAGAAGCAGTCCATGAGATGTAATTCAGAGAAAGAAGAGAAGGGAATTAATATTTTCCTCCCACTTGTTGGAAACAGTGAGAACTTCTAATAGCTGCGTTCTTGAGATCTGCTTGTGCTCCTTATGGCAGTTAAATGGCATTGAAAAGTTTTCACCTCCCGAACACTCCACGTACCAAAATCATTCTATGCTACACGATACCACTTGTACCCAAAATGAAATCCCAAATACCTGCAGTACATTTTTGATGTTTTACAGTTGATTGATTAGCTTCACCTATAACAATCCCTTGCTTTTCTAGTTTTAGCCTTTGCCTACTTGAACAATTGTCACAATTTAAAGCGGCACAGTCAAAGGTATAGCCTACTTCAAATGGCGATGGTAACCTGTGTTTCTGAACTAATCCAGCTTCTGACAGAGATGCCGCCTATTTACTGTTAAAATTACAGAAGGTGTTAATAACACTTCTTGGTTTATAGAGCCACAATACAGAAGCATATTCTCAAAGGGGAAAAGACAACCCAAATCTGGTTCACTGAATTATCATTTTAAAAAGCACAGGTACCCACATAGAGATAAAAGATAAGGCTTTGCTCCCAAGTCCAATTTTTGGTTTTTTTTTCTGATTCCAGTGCCTTGTGCAAAAATGAATTCCTAACCATCCTGCAGAAATCAAGTGTCTTGTCAAAAAAAGATACCAGCGTGCACACATCTGCATTTTCACATAACTGTCCTATCTTAACTTTTATTTAAATTTAAATTTCAAAACCTTGAGTCATGCCCACTGAATCCATAGATTTGTATTTGCAGAAAGTCAGGAGCCTACTATTTTTTGCAGTCATACTCACAGTGTTCTTCTATCTATAAAGCTTTTTTTTTTTCCTAAAAAAAAAAAGATGTACGAAGCAGGAAGAGAACTAATCAGGTCTGACAGGCTTGCCTGGGTGTATTTCACATACTTAGATACAAAATACACACACATACATATCAATCTGTAAAAAATTGTAATAACATCGCACGTGTTGTTTCAGTTTACCAAATGCTTTCAATTAGGTATTGTGAAACATAAAGCACAGGCCACTGTCAGAACCTAAAGAAGAATACAGCCCTCCCAAGCACGGTGACTAACAAAGCATTTTGCTCTCGGTCACAGCGGCTATAAAGCCTGATCTTTATTAGCTTCGAAGGGGAGCCCTCTGCCGGGCGAGGCGCGGACGCGCAATACCCCTCGCGCGGGCACGGGCTG